CCACTCCTACCATACATAGGGTTTAATTGTTAGTGCCTGCTCCCTTTGACCTCTAGATGTCTCAAATTAATGATCACAACACTGCCTATTTTAGCCTTCTACAACTTCAAATATATGCAAGAGTGTTAATAAGTTGTTTAAATAAAAAGCACAATGATTCATAAGCATTAAAATTCTAATTGAAAAGAGAATTATCAAAAGCATTTCAATAAGAATCTCTATAATTAAATACTAGGTCCATCCGCTAAAATTAGTGGAAAGAAAACCAAAAATAAGTCATTTATTAAAATGATGTATTTGGATTACAATTATAATTTACTACATTTTCAAATGTACCTTCTAAATAGTCAAAATGTTACTCTTTAAAAAGTACTCATGTTAAAATTTATGTTGGTATACAATTACTAAAGTAAATCAATATTAAACTTTGAAAAAAACAACAGTTAATCTTGAACTACTTTCTGATTTTATAGTAATACTCCAATTTTGCCCCTGGGGTGGGTTTAAGGCACAAGAAGACATTCTAACCACATTAGGTTAAAAATATTCTAATACCAAGTAAACGATTATTTGCAGCCAAACAAATATGCCTTCTATGACTGCTTACTTTAAAAGCTCAAATATTTACAGAATAATGCCTACAGACAATTCCTTCATGAAATTCTATGTAAGGTGACCTCTAACAGAGACTTGATGACGACTTATATTTAAAACTTAATTTGGCAAAAACAAGCTTCCCAAGATTTAATAAACTAGTGTTATTCCGAAGTGATGAAATACCAGTGAACATTCACAAAAATTAAATCTTAAAGCTATATAGGTTTCTATCTTATACCAACTACATAAATAGCAAACATATTTGTGAAGTTTTACATAGGATGCCTTTAAAAATCATAGTCATTTAATATTATTATCCATGAATAAAATGTTTTATGTTTAAAACAAGCATTATGATTTTTTATATGGCATGCTAACACTTAATTTAAGAACTCTACTAAAATAACTTAATAACAGAAATCAAACCATCCTGTAATTAAGGTTGGGTACAGTCTTTAAGAAAATATAATTTTCAAGAAAGGAAGAGATCCTATTAAGAGACCTTCTTCACAGAATATTCCAGATAATAAATGAAGCAGGAATGATAGAATCCTAACATCACCATTCTGCAACCTCTATTTTATAACATATCTAAGCACAATCATCAACAGCCACCAACAGCATTAAAAAAAGATAATCAGAAATAATGTAAGTCTCCTGATAGAAGTACATACAGCCATTTGTGAGGTTTTCTTTAAAAGCAAATAAAAGTCTGAATCTGATCACACTTCCAGATCTGTGCTGTCCAAGATAACTTTCTGCAATTATGAAAATACTCTATCTGCTCTATCCAACATGGTAACAATTAATACTAGCCACATGTAGCTATTGAACATTTGTAAAGTGGCCAGTGAGACTGAGTAACTAAATTTTAAACTTTACTTAACTTTAATTAATTAGTATTTAGATTTACATGACAATATGTGGCTAGTGTCTACCATATTGGACAGCACAACTTTAGATCCATCTATCAAGTTATAGGAAATCATAGATAACAAAGAAACGCATTGTGCTACATGTGGAAACTTGAACAGCCAGTCAGAGACTATATTGGACAAGTGAGTCTAGTTTATTCAAAAAGGAAGTTAGGAAGAAAGAGAAAGAAAACATATAGATTATAAGAGACTTAAAAGACATTTCAGGCTAGGCTAGCTGGCTCAGCCTGTAATCTCAGCACTTTGGGAGGCTGAGGCAAGTGGACTGCCTGAGCCCATGGGCTCGAGACCATCCCAGGCAACTTGGCGAGACCTCTTCTCTAAAATAAATAAATAAATAAATAAATAAATAAATAAAATTAGTTGGGTATGGTAGCATGTGCCTGTGGTTCCGGTTACTTGGAAGGCTGAGGCGGAAGGATCGCCAGAGCCCAGCAGGTGGACGCTGGGGTGGCCATGAGTGTATAACTGCACTCCAGCCTGGGCGACAGAGTGAGACTGCAACTCAAAAAAAAAGACATTTCAACCGAACACAACACATAAAACTGTTTGGATCTTAATTCAAACAAAAAAAATGTAAAAATAAAATAAAGCAATGTAATAACATTTATGAAACAACTCGAAATTTGAACACTGACTGAATATGCAATGAATTAAGACATTGCTGTGAATTGTTTTAATGTATGATTGTGACATTGCCATGTAAAAGAAAATGTTATCAATTAGATGCTGAAATCTTTACAAATGAAATATAATGTCTGGGATTTGCTTCAAAATAATAATGAAGGAAGGGAAGTAGGTAGATATATAAATGACATGAGATGGGTTCTGACTTAACTGTAGCTGGCTAATAGGTACATGGGACTATTATATTAGTTATCTTCTTTCTAAAATGTCTGATTTTTTTAAAGAAAAAAATTAAATAATAAAAAATTAAAACAATAAGTCAGAACTTTACCATGGCAAATTTATTAAAGCAATGATAAAAATGGACAACAGCTATCTCAGGAATATGGAAATTGACCAAAGGTATGTAACAAATTAAGAAGTTATACATGAAAAACTTATGAACTTTTGGAGTCTGTGGCAATCCTGCCTGGGCCTGGGGCTGCTCCCATATCAAGGTGGGTCAGGATGTGAAAAAAAGTTTTATTGCCAGAGAGAGTTGACTAGATTTGAAATGGGACCAAGGGAAATCCCCACATCTAGCAGCATTGTCAGTAACAACTGTGATCTCCCTGGCAAATGAACTGAAAAGACCAGTGACTCAGCTAGTTTTGGGACTGCAGTTCTGGTTAGGTTACGCAATGGATCTCCATACTAGCCAGAAATTTAACAGGGATATTAAAAAAAATGAAACAGCATAGAATATGTTGATAAACTACACATACATAATTTTGGAGACACCACAGAGGTCAAGCTAGCAACACATCCCCAGCTGACCTGAGCCTATGCAGAGAAGACACAAGAGAGAGTAAAGAGGGAAAACTTAGACTATCTGACTATTAAACATTCTAAATTTACTATAAAGCCACAATAATCAAGATAACAAACAGTACTGGAGTAATACTCATCACATAAGTCAATGGAAGATAATTGAGAGTCTAGAAATAAACTTTTACATTTATGACCAACTAATTTTGACAAAGGATACTAGGCGATTCAATGGGGAAAGGATAGTTTTTCAACAATTGGTATTGACACAATTGGATATCCACAAGCAAAATAGTTAATCTGAACACTTGCTTCATACCATACACAAAAATATAACTAAAAAAAATGACAGACTTCAAGGTAAGTCTTAAAGAAGAAAACACAGGAGAAAATTAGGTATTTCTGGCTTAAAAACACCACCAAAAATAAAAATATGGCAAATTAGACTTTATCACAATTTAAAAATTTTGCACTACAAAAAACACCATTAAGAAAATGAAAAAAGTAAGCCATGGACTGAGAGAAAGTATTTGCAAATCATATACACCTGATAAAATACTTGTACACAGAATATATTTTAAAAGTTCTTACAACTGAATAAGAAGAATAACTAAAAATGAGCAAAATACTTCAATAGATAGTCCACCAAAAATATATATGAACAGCTAATAAGCACTTGTGAAGAGGTTCAGCATCTTGAGTCATCAGGGAAATGCAAATTAAAAACACAATGATCAATGCACACTCATTAGACTATATCAAAAAGACAGGGTGTGGTGGCTCAGCCTGTAGTCCCAGCACCTTGGGTGGCTGAAGCAGGAGGATTGCCTGAGCCTGGGGGTTTGAGACCAGCCTGGGCAACTTGGTGAGACCTCGTCTCTACAATAAATCACAAAAACTAGCCGGGCGTGGTGGCGTGCACCTGTAGTTCCAACTACTTTTAAGGCTGAGGAGGAAGGATCACCTAAGCCCAGCAGGTTGAGGCTGTGGTGGCCATGAGCATGCCATGACACTCTAAGCCTGGGTGACAAGAGTGAGACTCTAACTCAAAAAAAAAAAAAAAAAAAAAAAAAAAGACAAACAATAACAAGTGGTGGAGAGGATAAGAGAAACTGAAACAATCATCTATTGCAGGTGCATATTTAAAATAGTATATTTCATATTTGAAAAGTTTCTTAAAAATTTAAGCATAAATTTACCACAACCCAGCAGTTCCATTTCTGATATCTACTTATGAGAAATGAAAACGTGGGGTCACACAACTTATATGTGACTATCCATAGCAACATTATATATTTTTGTCAAAAACTAGAAATAACCTAATTTTTTATTAATTGGTGAATGGATAAGCAAAACATAATGTACAATGGAATACTATTTGGCAATAAAAAAGAAAAAAGTACTGATACATGTACAACATAAATGAACTTTAAAAACATTATGGAAAATTAAAGCAACTAGATAAAGCAGCCTACATATTGGATGATTTCATTTACATGAAATGTTCAAAAGAGGCAAATGTATACATATAGAAAGCTGAACAGTGTTGCTTAGGGTCGAGGTATTTGAACAAGAATTGACTGCCAATGGACACAAAAGAACTGGTTAAGGTGGAAATGTTCTAAAGCTGGATTGTGGAGATGATTGCACAATTCTATAAATGTAATTACAGCCTTATCTACTTAAAAAAGGTGAATGCTTAAAATTGTGCCTCAATAAAGTTATAAAAAACAAATAACTAACAAGGAATAGGGATGGGGAAATATAGATGAAGCAAGTTTGGCAACATGTTGATAATTTTTAAATATGGGTGTATTAACAACTTATTGTTGCATAAGAAACTGCCCCCAAAACTTAATAGCTTAAAACAAATATTTATTATTTCATAGATTCTGTGCTTCAGAAATCCAAACGCAGTGTAGCTGAATATCTCTGATGCAAGGTCTCTTAGAAGTTGTAGTCAAAATGTCAGCCAGGGCTGAGATCTCGTCAGAAGACTCAAATTGGGCAAGGCACACTTCTAATCTCACTCACAGGGCTGTTGGCAGAATTGTTCCTCCTTGTCTGTTGGACTAAGGGTGACAGTTTCTCAGTGGTTGTTAGCGTTGGCTAAAAACAAAACAGAACAAAACAAAAAAACAATGAAAAATATACCACAGACTTAAAGATAAAACCTCCCTCAGGTCCTTGCCATGTGGGCCTCTCCATGGGGAAGCTTACAATATGGCAACTAATTTCTCCTAAAGTGAGTGAGCAAGAGAACAGGAAAGAAAACATACAAGATAAAAAACGCCTTTGTTACCTAATGTCAGAGTGACATTCCATCTCTTTTGTAGTATTCTAGTAAGTAACTATGTCCAGCCCACATGTATGAGAAGATTCCAAAGGGGTACAAATACCAGGAAGCAGAGTACATTGGGGACCAACTTAACTGCCTACCATAATAGGTGATTCCTTCCAGTTTCATGAATATTTTAAAAGTTTTCATAATAAAAATTTTAAATATAAAGCAAAAAATACTATTTGCAGAAACTAAATGTAAGTAAGCATTTCTTATGTTTAACAAAATTTAGGAAGCTCTTTTACAAAGTAGAAAAGAAGAAAAATGCCATTAAATGAAAAAATAATAACACAGTTATTTTAACATTTACTGATCACTTACCACATTCCAGACACAGGTCTAAATACAACTTGTTCTAATTAATGTAATCTAATTCATACAATAATCCTCTGTTGCATGTACTACGATTATTGCAATTTTGAAAGTGAGAAAATGGGACACACAGGAGTTAAATAAATTGCCCAGGGTCACATAGCTAGTAAATAACATAGCCAAAAATTTCCCTGGGTGGTAGAGAGGGAAGTGGGGATTAGAAAGTAGATGTGGAATACATCAAAATTTTAAAATTGGAAATTATTGGCAAAGATATTTAAGATTTTTTTGTGCTACCATGTATTGTCTTATTAATGTTTAAATTATTACTATACAATTTGTACATAAGGATATACTATCATGTCTAAAATAACTAAATGGTCTTACTCTCCTTTGTCAAGATAGGGTCATTAGAAAGACAAGTTTATTCTATGATTCACCTTCTACTTAACGCATCAGCATGAATTATCTGCAGATATGAGCAATCTTTAACAATTAATCTAATTTCTTCATTTTTACAATATCACAAATGTGGCCAGCTATTCTTATTCAATTATCCTTTGTTCTTCCACCAAATCATATACCTTCATTAATCTCTTATCAGTTGGCACTCTAAGACTTCCTTTTCACATGTTTTACTTTCCCAGTGTCAAATGTCAAACAATAACTTGTTTGGATATAATACTTTGAGTTTACAAAATATTTTTATATACATTATCTCATTTGACCCTTCTCACAATGAGCTTGTGATGAACTTGACAGTTTACTATATTATGCTATATTTAGATAATGGTGATATAATGACTATGTAGTGAGCTCAAAGCTAACACCCAGACTTCTGTTTCACAGTCCAGGGCTCTTTCTTCCCAATACCAACTATCTTCCTCCAAATGGGTTTTGGACTTTAGGATACCAGAAATTACTAGCTAACTTAAGTAATGAGAAAAGTGAAAAAAAAAAAAAAGAAATAAAGTGCATATTAAGTGAAAAAAAAGTGCATATTAAGTGAAAAGTGCATATTAAGTGCATATTAAGTGAAAAAAAGAGAAATAAAGTGCATATTATTAGGATAAAGTTCTGAGGCTATAAAAGGGATTAAAATGACGGGAAAGAAATTATCAAGAAAATGAAATTATGAAATGTGGTTGAGGCCCATAGACTCCGTAATTCAGAAATAAGGAGAACTGTATCTTACTAAATTCCCTAAAAATATATGACTGATACTGAAACTTTGTGCATAGCAAGCTATAAAGTCACCTAGAAGTTTATAATTCCAGACAATGAATGTTGTAAATATATGAGTTTGCCTGTCCAGTATCTTTTTTTCTAGAAAACAGTCGCCTAATATCTTTGGTTTCTCAGAAATTTGAAATTGGATTAAAAAACATTTCAATCTCAGGCTAAGACGGACTCTTCACTTTCTACTACATGACCTGGGGATCTGAGAAATCTGGTATATTCAAAGAATATGGAATGGAGAAGCAAAGAGAAGCAGAGATAAGATATAAGAAATTCTGAAGTGCTCTAATCCCCAATCCCAGTTTCATTAAATTCCTTTCCGTACTTGACACTATTTCTAATCTTAAACTAGCTTAACTTGGTTTTTGTCACTTGTAATCAAAGACCCAATTAACACATTACTCAAATAAACAGTATACATACAATAAATATTAACTAGAATTACAGCCAAAACTTACTCTCTTACATTCTTACAGTGAAGGGCCTATATCTTTCTCATGTTTAAATTTCTCTGAATAATCAGCAAAAATACCTACCCAAGAGCAAATATTGGGAAAAAATATCCTCAACATAATATTAAATGGAAATTCTAGGAAAAACCTTGAGGTATATAAAAATACTGTACATAAAATAAGACCCTTTATGTTCACATAACAAAAGATTAAATATTAAACCTTTTTTTTCTGGAGCAATAATTAAGACTATTAAATGTTTTGCTTTGGGAGAATGAAGAACAAATTCTGTATCTTCATGTACAATTTTGTCTAATAATGTACTTTTTACAGAATGCTAACAAAGTTTATCTGGATTATCTTATTTAAAACATTTAAAATACTTTTCTGAATTAAAAAAATCTAATAATGTTTACTTTTTAAACGTAGCAAAAAGAAATAAGCTATTTTTTGACAAACAATTAGATAAAACCACTGAAAATGCATAAGCCTCTTTATGCATAAGCCTCTTTATACATAAGGGGCATCCAAATTTAAAGAAAACACCCCAAGGCTAAAAGAAGACTATTTGAGCAATTATCTCCTTACTTGGTCTAAATCTATTCCAGCCTCACTAGTTCTTTTTCAAATGCACTTCAATCCTTGGATTAATTTGCACTTCACTTAACAGTAAACTCTGAGATTCCTGTGGTTCCTTCTTACTCTTTCTTTTTTTTTTGAGTTGGAGTCTCACTCTGTTGCCCAGACTGGAGTGCGGTGGCCGGAACCTCGACCTGCTGGGCTCCAGTGATCTTTCCGCCTCAGCCTTCCAAGTAGCCGGAATTACAGGCATGCGCTACCACGCCCGGCTGATTTTTTTATTTATTGTAGAGATGAGGTCTCGCTGCCCAGGCGGGTCTTGAACCCGCGGGCTCAGGCAATCCACTCACCTCAGCCTCCCAAAGGTGCGGGATTACAGGCTGAGCCACCGAGCCCAGCTAAGAAAAGAAAGAAAGAGAACAGAAGTAGGCTGAATTGTCAGCCATAAAGAGAGGTTTGCAATAAACCAAATGAAGGTGAGTGTAACTAATAAATTAACTGTACTTCAACACTGTAAAACAAAAAACTTTCAGTCTATTTGAACAAAAAAAAGAACAATTATGAAGTGCTATGTTTTTAAGCCATATGTGACCACATAGAGCCACATAATGACAGCAATCTGTTGTGCCAACATTTTCTTTTCTTTAGGTCCAGGATTATACAAAAGAATATTTTTTTTGCAATAAACTCATGTGTGCAATTCATTCATGCTATTTTATTTAGAATTTCTCTTTTCTGAGATAGCCTCCTGGGACATGCATCTCATTTTCATGAGGGTCCCTGAGAGACTTGAGCATACAGTATTTACTTCAGTACAATATCAACAACATATTGCAGAACATTTCATCTAAAATAATAATAGAAAATGTTGAGCCATCTTTCCGTTTGGAAAAATATATCTGGAAGAATGTGATGTCTGACGAAAGCCACATTGCTTAAACACATTGTGCCATCTCAATTTGCTTTGGGAATTGTCTTAGTCCGTTTTCTGCTGCTATAACAGAATATCACAGACTGGGTAATTTATAAAGAACAGAAGTTTATTCGGCTCAAGGTTCTGGAACTGGGAAGTTCAAGAGGATGATGCTGGAATCTGGTGAGGGTCATCCCATGACAGAAGACATCACATGGTAAGGAAGTACATGAGACAGGGAAAAATGGGTGACAAACTTACTCTTTCATCAGGAGCCCACAACTGTGATAACAGCATTGAATCTGTTCTTGAGGGTAGAACCCTCATGGCATAATCACTTCTTAATGGTTCCACCTCCCAATATCATTACATTGGCAATTAAATTTCAACATAAGTCTTGGAAGGGACATTCAAATCATAGTAGTAATTCAAGAGAATATTATATATATAATGTTAAAGAATGGAAGAATGATAATAGATAAAAGACTATACAACACGAGGGAAGAGAAAGTTAACAGACATCTACATACAGTGCCTGGCACAGAGTAAAGAAGAGCACTATAAGGTTAGCAGGTATAAAATGTCAGGATTTGTAGATACTTCTATAAAGTAGACTGCAACTGAAATTAGTATTCTAATTGTCAAGTTCTTCCCATAACCACTTCCTCAGTAGCACTGTCAATCAGTCATCTAACCTGCTACGGTCAACATAAAATAATAAGTGTATTATTCAGGTTTCTCCAGGGAAACAACAGAACATTGTGTGTGTGGAGAGAGGGTGAGAGGGAGACACACACACACACACACACACACACAGAGAGAGAGAGAGAGAGAGAGAGAGAGAGAGAGAGAGAGGACAATTTAGTATTATAAAGTATTGGCTCATGGGATTATGGAAGCTGAGAAGTCCCCTAATCTGCTGCTGCAAACTGGAGACCTAGAAAGCCAGTGGATTAATTTAAAGGCCTGAGAACAACAAAGAAAGCCAGTGATGTAGCTTTCAGTCCAAGCCTGAATGCCTGAGAATTAGGAGTGCTGAGGGCAGGAGGAGGTTGATGTCTCAGCTCAAGCAGACAGGCAGAAAGTGAGGGGGGAATTCTCTCTTCCTTCACATGTTAGTTGTATTCAGGATTACAACAAACTGGAGATGACAATACTCTTTACTCTGTTTACCAATTCAAACATTAATTTCTTTTGGAAACACCCGCACAGATACACCCATAAATAATGTTAACTAGGTATTTGGGCATCCAGATTTTGGGATCCAATCAAG